GGAACGATTTATTCCAGAAACTCTCGTTCAAATCTCGCGGAGAAGTATAACCGAAGGGGCATCGAAAATGGGTGTGGTTTCGACTCCTATGAGAGTTTCTGGGATGGTAATTATCTCGGAATCGGTCGAGAGATTCTGCGATTTTGCACGATTTTAGCCCCTGCTCGACGTCTTTCCCTCAAAATCATGAGAGTTTCTGGGATAAAAGTTATAAACCCTCGCGAAGTTAACCAAATTATCCCAGAGTCTCTCATATATATACTACTATTAATGAAAACATTACAAAAATGTATTAGACTGGCTTTCTAGAAGTCCAGATCTTATGGTCAAAACAAGCATTATTATCAAGTAAACAAGTTAAAATTACCAATTGTGGATGCTTGAGAATATATTGAAGTGAAATAATTGCAAAAATTGATTCAAACTATGCCTGAAGAGGTCCAACTAAATATTAAATGTTATGAATTTTGTCAAAAATATTGTGTCCTTATAATTATGTTACATTTTAAAATGAGTTAACTCAAAAACAATTTTAAATTATTTTAATCATTATCAAATATTAATGACAATGATTTTTAACATTTTTTGTGTTTATTATTATGTATCTAAAATTTCAAAAGTATATTACAAAAATATTTGATAAGAATATAGTTTATAATATATTACAAATTGAAGTTGTGAAATTAAAACTAAATTGTGTCCTGATAATTGTTAAAAAAGTGAAAATGAAAGCCACAGCTGTAAAAGTGCCAGTTTATACTTATTATTTTAAGTTTGTGCACCTTTCTAAAAGTTTTACCTTTGTCCCCGTTGTCTTGTCCCCTAATTTGTTTAATTACTTTTGTAATTCAGCAACTGTTACATTTTTATAAGTACATTAAAACTTCCCATTCAGTTTCCACTGTTTACTGAAAGTTAAGTATACATCAAGCTGACACTTATCTTAAAGACATTTTTTTTCAAGGTTCATTCTCAAAATGTAAAATAAAATTTTTAATTTTGACAGTTAAACTATGAATTAATATTGTATACAAAAAAAAATCTATCCATAATATTTTAAATAATCAAATGTTTTATTACCTTGGTAAATAGCTGCTAATATCAATTCTTTGGCATCTTTATCACCATCCAAATCATTTGCCATCTACAAAAAATAACAATAAATAATTTTAAGCATAAAAGTATTTTTGTTACAAATTATCAATAATCTATCTATTCTTTAAATTATCTTAATTTTAAAAATTTACCATACAAATTGAAATATTTTATTTTCTGATGTCTAAAATATCAAAAAATAAAATAAGCAAATAAATCCCATAAAGATTTCACTAACTTTCAAAACTTATTATTGAAACAGTTTAAAAAATTTCATATTATAATAAATAAATGATTTTGAAGAATGTAATATATCCAATTTATTGAATCTCTACTTCTTAAGTACAAAAACCTAAATTGTACTACAAAATTTTAACATAAAAATACACTTATTCCATAAAAATTAGTGCACAAAGAAGTTGTTGAAATCAAATGAAATTGTGATGTGATGTGAAATTGTACATGTGTGAGTGTTACACTCACACATGTACAATTTCATTTGATTTCAACAACAGTGATATAAGTAAATGGTTACAAAATGAAAACAAAATGATCATTTATTACAGGAAAATACTACAAATGAAAGGAGGTTCTAGTACCCAGTTTGACCACCTCTACAGTGAATATACGATATGATACAGGCATGCATGGAGGCATATGATGTCTTGCAGTATCTCAATCCACAGTTGCTGCAAGTCCTCTAGTTCAGCTAAATGCTTAGACTGTCCAATTTGGAGTCCCAGGTGATCCCAGACATGTTCAATCAGTGACAAACCAGGGAACCAAGCAGGTCAGGGAAGTGTGGCAATGTGACACCCTTGCTGTGTGTGGTCAAGCATTGTCCTGTTGGAAAATGGCTCTTGGAAGCCCTGCCATGAGAGGCAATACATGTGACTGCAGGATGTCATTAACATACTGCTGGGCTGACATAGTCCTTTGGATCATTACTAGAGATGACCAACTGTTGTATGTGATGGAACCCACACCATCACACCAACTGTAGGGGTAGTGTGCCACTCCAAAGTTTGGACAGATTGAGGCATTCACCATGAGAACTCCAGACTCAAACATGGCTGTTGTCAATGACCAAACTGAATCTGGATTCATCAATGTAAATGATCTAGTTCCATTCTATTGTGGTACAATCCTGTTGGGAGCAATGCCACTCCAAATGGGGACGACAGTAAGTGGCTGTCAATGGAAATGCAATGACTGCCACAATATCAAATGTTCCTCATCCAGGTACCTCAAAATGATATGAACAGACTCAGGGGCCTGTAAAGATGGTTCCACCTGTGTCTGGATGGTGGACAGCAATACAGTCAGAAGTGTATGCACTTGTTGGAGGACCAGGCAGTCCTCTTGGCTAGTGGTCTGAGCTTGGGTGTCGTGTGTGCAAGCTCTCTCTTCTCCACTGATTCCAACATCACCTCAAAATGTTATCAGAATGACCTAAGTGATGGGCTATTTGGCAAGATGACCATCTGGCTTCTCTCAGCCTGATGATCCTTCCTCTCTCAAGTTAGATGTTCATATGGTCTTCGACTGCAACATAAAGGTATCTCCAGTGATAATGTGTCTCCCCCTGCAAAAGGTAAACTACAGACAGGATGCTTTTGCATACATTTTTATAGGCCAAGGAGGATGCACTTTAACCTATCCCATGTTGAAATTTTTCTCTGTTGCACGTGGCCGCCATGTTGAATTTTTGTTGATGTTAAGCCTAACATCATTTTTTTTTTAAAATCGTGGCATTAAAAATTATTTTTTTATTTTTCACAAACAAAATACACATATTAATAAATATAAAAACAAAAAAATTATATTTTCAAAGTTTGTTTTAAAATAAATATGATACAGCAACATCTAGTATCAAAAATGTTCCCAAGCAGTAACGAATATGTTTGGGTCAACTGGGCAGGTCAAATGAGGTCAACACGAAAATATTCAGGAATAACACGGGACAGGTTAATGCCCTCTGCTGCATTACTCAATGAGCCATCTCACTATAACTTTAATAATTTCCAAATTAGTTTGAGATTTATCTTCATACCACACTTCATAGTGATATGGCAACACCTTCTTGGTGTGCTAATTTTTATGGCAATGAGTGTATAATCATTGTTTTTATTCTTCTAGAATTTTTTTGCTTTTGTGGAAGATAAACAGACTGCTAAATTAATTTAACTTAGGAAAGATAATCAAAACTAAAAATTTATCTATTTAAGGAGTAAGAACAAACCATATCTAAAGATAAATTATACAATAAACCACACTTTATAATTTATGCTATTTTGAATTATTTAATTTCAATACAAAGAAAACAGAATGTGTATATTCTTTGTATCATTTAAACTGAATAAATTTGAAAAACACAAAATATTCATAACTGATCTATTACATTGATCTAAGAAAATGATCTATTGTAATTACTCTGAAATTTTACATTTAGCATGAAAAAATAAATATTTTTTGGCTATATGGAATGTTCAAATATAGCAATAAATACACAAAACATCATATTTAACACACTATTTATAATACAATTTTTTTTTAATAATATGATTTTTAAAATTAAAAACAGTAATGATCTCATTTAGCATATCTTAGTAAAGTAATATTTAATCCAAACATGAATGAAAATTAAGAATTTTGTAAAACCTATCAAGTTAAATGCAGCAAATCTATAAAACCAACATAATATCCAAGTTAATTATAACTGAATAAGGTAACAATATCTTAGACATTTTTCTAAAAATATTTATCTAATGATTCATTCAAGATATTAATATCTTGAAACTTTCAATAATGAAATTATTATTAAAAAGTTAAACAAATTATTTTAATCTTACTCATTTTTACTTCAAATTTTATTATTTATTCAAATAAACTTATTTAATAATTGAAAAATATTACTTTAAGTTTTACTACATAGGTGTTTATTAATGAAATAATTTTTGTTATTTTTAATTTTGATGATAATATTTTCAGATACTAACCTCTGCAAAATGTTCAAACTCTCCTTTAGGTATTTGTAAAATATCTGCAACTAGTTCTTGCTTCTCTGTAAGAGCATTGGCTATTTCTTGATCTTTACGCCTAAGTTGTTCTTTAAAATATTTTAATTAATTAGTAAAAATTCTTGATTTAACAAATTTTATTTTATGATAAACTTTAATTATTATTGATTATTATTTTATATTAAATTTATGAGTTCATTCAATAAAAGTTACTATCAACTTTGAAAATATTGTATTAAGTTTTAAAAATTCTATTTAGCAATTTTTCTTCATAATAATGACTTTATTGAAGAAATTCACTTAAGAATTATGTTTCAAACTGTTATTAAACTATCAAAAAATATTACCCATTGGTGTCAAAACTGGTTCTGCAACTTCTAGTAGAGCACTTTCTGTGATTACTACTTCAGAAGGTTCAATCAAACGAGGACTGTCTACTATTTGTACTATATGTCCCTGAATTACTGAATTTTCATTTTTGACAACTTTTGAATCTTCTGCTGGTGGAACAGATTCTTTCTGAGGAGTATCATAATCTGTAGAAATGGAAGTTGAAGATGGAAGAGGTAAAGATGATTCTGATGAAGAAAATTCAGGTAGTTCAGAAAGATCATTGGCTTCAATACCATCATATTTTTCAGAGTGATTATCTTCCCTTGTATTCGTACTAAAATGGAATCATAATATATTTATTTATATAAAGTTTATAAATTAAGTAACTTTTCTAAGAAAATTAATTATGCACTCACTCTTTTTCTTGATCTTTAATTTCTGTTGGTTCTTCAATACTTCCTTCTGAAGGAGGTATCCTGTCTGGATACAATGGGGATGGCTGTTGATGTTTTGTCTGATTACTTATGCTTTTGTATGCTTCAGTTGCCTCAGTAATATAACGTAACCACCTATATGTGATGATAAAATATGTTAATTTAAATTTTAATTTTTATATTAAGTAACAAAATTTCCATATGTAGGTTGCTTTTAAACAGATTTAATAATAACTGTTTCAAAAATGCTATTTAATAAAGTGCAGTAGTCATCATTGAACAAATATAACTGATTTTAATATCAAAAAGATATGACCAGAAGTGCCCATGAAAAAGATCATCATATTGAGTCACTTTTTATCTTACAATACTGATGAGTCAGTTTGACTTTCACCATGTTCCACAAGGACTGTTTTGTACATTATGATAATAATGGTTTATCTATCTTCATTAAAGTACATTATTGTATGGTTATCTAAAATATTCATCATACAATATCTACAGACTGTTTTGTTGGAACATAAAGTCAGCTACCATTACTTTTCAATGGTGAGCCAAACATGACTTGATAGGACTCAAAGAATAATGTCCAATGACCCAGGCTTTGAAGCCTGACAACAAGATGGATTTTACCTAGTAGGTCTCAATTTAAATTTTACCTTAATTTTGTGGGCTAAGTACATTACTTCATACTAAGTAACTTTGCTAGAGTCTGACAGGATGTCACAAAGCTACTGCCATTCCGAGACTTGTTAGAATTCGTGTTTTGGCAATATAGAAATTCAGTTTGACTTGTTCAATATAACTAAATTCCTCCTGATACTTTTCTGTAATCTCTGGTCTGGATGACCATGTCCTACATCATTTCAATGACAGTGTTAAATCCACCAATCTAGATCTGATATACAGTAGAGCGTTGATTTTCTGAATCAATTGGGGAATGGGGTTGTCCGGATAACTGATATTTCGGATAACTGATTTACGTACGAAAAAATAGTTTAACGTATCCGATGCCGAAATTTTTCTCCGTTGCGTGTCGCTTCGCGTTGAATTTTCGTCAACGTTAAGCCTAACAAAGACTATTGTATCGTTAAAAATTATTTTTTTTATTTTGTACAAACAAAATAAATATATTGAAAAATATAAAAAAATAAAAGAATTATACTTCAGATGTTAATTTAGTATCAATAACGTAAAATATTTGAGTAGCCCGAGAAATAGCCGAAGATTGCAGCGCCACAGCACTAGCAAAAATTTAAATTTGCCGACTGGAATGCTTTCGGATAACGGACGTTTCGGATAACCAGCTTTCGGATAAACGACGCTCTACTGTATT